AAGCATTCTTACTTTATAGCATTTTTTCACACCTGCCTAAAACTTTTGCACAGTACTATATATTTATTAGAACTTTATTGAATCCTAAAAACACTGGAGAAATCAGGACTTCTTAAAGCACAATTCACTTTCAAAGGAGTAAATCTTCAAGTGAACAAATTGAATGTGTTACTCTGAAAAGACTACCTACTTATAAATGTCCCGTTATTGTTCACTATATTGCTACACATCCCTTGGTCTGGACTTAAACCAGCAAAACTATTTATTTAAAAAATGTATTAATGTACTTTAACCAAAATTAACATGCCAAAAAATACTCCTAACTAAAAATAATCACAACAGATCTGACTCATATGCAAACAGCTGAAAGTCTCAATAATAATGGTGATTTTTTTTAAGTTTAAGAAAAAACTTAAACTTACAGAGTTTTACAGAAATACAAAATAGCTTTGTGTGAAAATATGAAGTTTCTCAATTTATTCTGAATTACAGTAACGTATATTTTTCTTCTGATAGGAAACTGCTATCAGGACAGTGCAGAATTTAAATAACTGGTAAATCATAAAAAAATACAGGAAGCAGTTAACGAAAGTGACATTGAAAAAAATCAGGAAAACATCTATGTTTGGAGTCCCCCAAAAAAGCTCTCTCTCTCTCTCTCACTCAAGCTCACACACTGCAATTCAAGAAAATGAGGGGATGTGGAAGACACCTACAAAATGGAAAAGAGGTTTCTGGCAGATTTGTACAGGTCACACTATCATGGTTCCAGGTTATTTAAGCTGAAAGCAGCTCGAACTATAATGCTTTCAGGTTTCTTAGGCTGAAAAAGAACTGGAAATATAGCAGAGCTGTATTTGCCACCCCACCATGGCTAGAAGATCTAGAAGGAAGTCGTGTTTTGAAGTATTGAAAGCTTCCCTAAAAAAAAGGAAAACACTCAAACTCTCCCAATAGTTTTTGGTTAAAACAGCTCCAATCAAGTGAAAATAGAAAGGATTCTAAGTAATCAGCATTGTCCAAGAAAAGCAAATGTCCACTTATGTTCTATACAAATCACTGAACTTGCTTTACTATAGTATCTAGACAAATAGGAAGAACATTCAGTGACCATTTTAAAAAACTTTTTTTGGATTATGATTTTAAATGTTTTTATATGAAAAACTATTTCTGGAAAAAATGTTGGACAACAGGAAGAAAATGGCAATGATCATAACTTCGTATTTGTTTTATTTTATATTGGCTTCATTTTCTTAATTTCAGTTAAATGATGTATTCCCAGTTGAATCATAGTAAGTGGCAGTACCTAATTGACTAGCTGGATCTTGAAAAAATTAAACAGGGTTTGTTGGCCTGGTTGGTACTGGGATGGGAGATCATGAGGAAATGCCATATTGTAAACTAAACAATGAAATTGAAAAAAAAAATCTTAGAAGAATGTAATGGTACGTCACCTCCATACTGTTGACAAGAAAATAACATGTCTATGTAATATAGTATGCAGGAACTAAGCGTGATTTGAAGGAAAATTTACCTTTATTTCAGACTCAAGCAGCAAGGCAAAATATCCTCTCAAATTAATTTCATAAAGTCTATGTAATATAGTATATAGGAATTGAGATTGATTTGAAGGAAAATTTACCTTTATTCCAGACTCAAGCAGCAAGGCAAAATATCCTCTGAAATTCATTTCATAAGGTTATTTTGAAATTTCTTTCATAAGTTTGACAAACTGATAAGAGACTTGCTTACTTGCTTGGTCAAGATAATTAACTAAAAATAGACTTTGTATACCTGAATGTATGCTTTTTTTCAGAGGTTATTCCATTTCTGGCTTGTTTTATAATATTTTATTTTATTATGATTTATGCATATATATTTTTTGCTTGTCATTTTGCCAGCTATGCTGAGCTATTAAAAAGCAATTTACAAATGTATTTATATATTTATTAAATCACATTTATATGGTTACCCACCTCACAAGAAGCGACTGGGTGGCGTCCAAAGTTAAAGAAATAAACAAATCTGAACACAATGTCTAAACATACTGTATTTGTTGTAACTATCATCTGATTAAATGACAAACTATAATTATAGAAATAGGCCAGAAGACAATCGAAAATGGGAAATCTTACGAAGCCAATTCAGAAACTACTGCTGCAATTTCACAGACTTCAATACCTTATATTATAAAGTGGGAGACAAAGAAGAATGGGAAGTCAAAAGGTATCTTTAAGTATAAAATGTGTGAATGTGTATATTCCCATATGCATGTGTGCAATTCTCCTCTTTTAAGATTTTGCCTGTACATATTAATGTTTCACACCAGCTTAATCTGCTATTAGAAGAGAAAAGAAACCTGAAGATACTAACACAATAAATATCAAAACAAAGTAAAAGAAAAAAAGAAAAAGAAAAAAAGAGCACATTGTTTATAAATATACTTCATTGTTAAATAAGTGTTTAAGGAGGTTAAGAAAGAAGGTAGAATGTGATTTGATATTGTATATATTTCAGATTTATGAATGATTTCCTCCTTGGGCAGGGGTCTGATGCAAATGAGCATAAAGGAAGCTGTCAGCTGCATTCTGCTTCAGCCAATAGTAGCAAAGCTCCATCTTAGCTGTACCAGAAGCTGTATTAAACAGCAGATCAGCACTGTTCCAGCATCTTTTCGGAAAAGAGGTATGTCTATATCTTAAAAAAAAAATACTGTCTTATAATTATTTCTTATTTGCAAAAAATAAATACATCTCAGAAAATCAGAACAGGTAAGACCCCTTACTGATGTATTTTTAAATTACAGTTGCTTTTGATTCTGAAGCTTGTTAGTATGGTGGTTAAATGCAGAGGTGCTTGTCTTGTGCTAATAGAGAATCTTGCCATCTGTGCATTCATGAAGAATTGATGACCATCCATTTTAGAAAGAGACTAACACACCCAGCAATTGTGAACAAGATCTTTCTGAGGTTCTGTGTTTCTTAATCATTAATTTAATTTTGGGAGGTTAAATATAATAAATAGGACTGTGTATTTTTAAGTGTTAGAAGATTTTAATTTTTCTCCAAATTTAAACAATCACTAAACTGCAAAACCAATCTTATTAACCAAGCCAGTAAACTGATCTTTGCATATAGCGTTCCCATCTTGCAATTTTATAAGATGAATCAGTAACTTGCTAACATGAACACAGCTTCAAAGAAATCAGTTGGGATTGTATCAGTTTAAGCAATAAATAATCTTCACCAAAATCAATTCCACCTGAATTATCTACTGGAATTTATATGTGTAAGTTATTACATATACAAGTAATTTGTTTTATATCAGCTGATAATAGTGCAATATTAGGTATTCAGATATAAGACACAAGTTTAGTGGGGCTTGCCCACAAATGAACAGATGTAAGATTGCAACCAAATTGCCAGAAGTTTCTGGATTTTATTCAAAGCTTGGTTCTAAGATTCCTAATGAGGATTATTTAAAATGACCCAGTGAACTTTGTAAATAGCATACTTTTATTTTTCTTTATGTAACCAAGTAAAATTTCATTGTTATAATAACCTAGGCAGTAAATAAATACAACTTTTATTTCAAAACATATGTTTAGCTAGCATTCAGTTGTAAAGATATATACTAAATTTATAACTCTGATGGAACAAGGTTTGTTTCAAAATTTTAAATCCCTCAGTACAAAAACTGCCATCATGGATATAGAAATATATATTATGAAACTAATTAGTATGGGACAGAAATCCATTTAGTGAATTTAATAATTATTTTTATAGTTAAATAAGCATAAGCAACTCTGAATACCAATTTTGGTATGAAATTCTATCATGTCTCATCAAAAGTAAGATTTAAAACAAAAAGAAATAACAATCACTCTTGTGAAAAACTGACTGTTTATTCTGAGGACAGAAATTTTAAATTTCCTCCTCCCCAAATACTGTGTTCTAAAAATTCTGAAATGTGTTGCCTTTTCACTTTTGCACAGTTGTAGAGCTTAATATTGCATCTAACAGTATATTATTTTTGCCATCTGAGTCAAACAATTATACACTATCAAAAACTAGTATACTGTACCTTTTCAACCCAAATTAAATTTCAATATTCAGGGATTTGTTTCCCAGAAAAACTTTCAATATTAACTGTTCCCCTGTATCGTGAGACAGACTAGTTTCTCTAATAACTTAGGCAAAACATGCCTGAAGAAGAAAGTTGTTGCCAAGAAAACAACACAGCCATGGAAATCAACTTGAAGGAGACTTTACGTTAGCTTACTCATATCTTTCTATATTCCCTGATCCAAATCCTATTTTAAATATATTCTAAATATTTTGACTCATATCAGTGTTGCCTCTAGTAGTAAATGCAAACTAGATCTGCGACATATGCAGCTGTTCTGTCAATTGTGCAGTAAATTTACAAATTCTTATGGCTAAATGGAATACATGGCCTTTCAGTACATACTACTGCCACCAAAGAGGGATGGAACCAACTAGGGGGTTACAAGTAAATGCATATGCTACTCATGTCCTGCAACTTTATAAAATTTTATATATTCTATACTGTATATCTAGAATAACAATTCTTATGTCTTGTTTTAGAGTGGTTCAAATATAACCTTGTGGGCTTTTCTAAACATTCTACTTCCTGTGGGCCTTTTTCCCCCTCTTTATTCCCCACTTAAAATTTAAAATATAATGTATATCCTCCTTTTAAAAATCATCCAATGAGCTTCCATCACTGAAGATGAACTTGAACCTGTGTCTCCCTGCTCCTAGTCCAACACTTTAAGCACTAGTCCATACTGGCTGGATTCCAAGTTTTGAAGTAAGGTCAATGTGTAAAGAAAATAGCTGGGAATATTTTAGAGTGGCTTAACTGGAAACATAAATGCTCACTCAGTAACTTTGACAACCATGACAACTTAGCCATGAGGACAATTTCCGCCCACTATTTAGAATCTGGATGATTCTTAGGAAGAAAAATGGAGAAAATTCATAAAGAAGTTCAGTCTGCTGAGAACTCAGTGACTATTTCTGTTCTTCCCCCACACAGAATTCTGTGCCAAATCAAGACAGTTACTTGTGGATGGGCAAGGAGGAAAAAACAACCTATCTTCATTCCCAAACTTAAATACAATAAATAAATTCAAGAACTAGGGCTACCTTATCTGGATGACTAGATAGCAGCAGTTTGAGTTTTCTATACTTCTTTTTTGCCATGTAGTGATTGTCTCAGTTTTTGCAGTCCAGATATGGTAGCTCACTAATTTTCACATGGATTGAATATAATAATTCTTGAGTCCCTGACAAGTAAAATTGGTCTAGAACTCATTGCTTCTTGGTTCTACTCCAGAAGTGTTCTTCCAATTATCTTTGACTAGAGATTAGTAATCATGTGGAGTTAGTCTTCTTCCCAAGATAATGTGAATAACTGTCTTTGGCTTAGAGCTTCTGTTGGTCCCATATAGAAATGTAGTTCCCAGAGAAATCTATGTATGAAATGTGGCATTGTGATGACTTTTCCCTGTCCTATTTGACTTTTCTATTCAACCTGACTTCAGAATAATTTCTGAACAAAGCCATTACTTTGGAATTGACATCCACAGGATTCTTCTTGCCACCGCACTGAATATAGTTTCTTGTTGTTACAGATATAAGGCTGTATTACTGAAAGCGCCTGCAATTTCCTATTTAACTTGACCCAGATAAATATTACATTAGTAGAGCATGAATCTATACCTAAGAATTTAACAAACCTATGGCAGAAGCACTAAAGTCTCTATGTAGGATAGCTTTTGACATGCAGCCTTGTCAGTCCCCAATTTGTTGATATGTGAACTAAGAAGAGCACTACAGGATTTCATCACAGGTATAGCCAGAGTTCCTTACTTATCACTGCCTGGCAGACTGACTTGATCATAAAACAAAGCTTTGGAAATTTTCTAGCATTCTTTTTTGAAGGAATTAACTGACATGTGCGAAAAGAATGAGCGGAATAGATGGTATCAGTTGGCAGACATGATTACTAAAGCTTTAGATGGTCATATAGTGTATATATGCTATTTACTTTCCTGCCCCAAATGGAGGAGTTGCACAGCTGTGGCTGAGACCAGGAAGACTTTCCTAGGAGGAAATTCCACAATAGGTTGCTTTTTTCCTCCCACCTTCCTATTTTCAGGTTTGCATAGACTTTAGAACTACCCTATGAAGGGGATTGTTGTCCTAGACTGCAAAAATAATCTAGAGGATCTAGAACTGAAATGGGATCTGCTCTAGAACTTTCTTCCCTTGGGAAGTCACAACTTCTGCCTAGTAACTAGAAATAATAAAAGTTGGGAAGGAATCTACTTATATTACAAGTGTTTTCCTTTCTGGAAATTTTGCTGGAACCCCTTTACTGAATCTATCCCTGAGATGTAGTGGCTACACTCCCATGGTCTGCAACTCAGATCTAAACTTGCTTGGAAATGGCAAATATCAACTGGTGGTAGCTTTTTTCCTTTGAAACAATTCCATGATCCTACATGGCTTTTCACTCTACTGTGAGTGGCCAGCTCCTTCTTCAGTTTTTTCTGAGATATGACTTCTCTAAGCTTCTCCTGGGAAACAAAGAAATGAAATAGCAGGGTGGGTGTGGTCAATAGGGCACTGAACCAGACTGCAGTCTGGAATCCTTTTAATATAATTCATAAAGACCTCACAATGAGTTATACTACATTCCTCAAGCACTTAAACGGACTGCTTAAAAGTCTCTCCTGCCTTCTTATATTGGTGTGGCTGATATGTATCTAAAGAGGTGATGCTTGGTGAGATATCCTCTGCTTCTTTTTCTGACCATTATTAGGTAGAGGAAATTTGGAAGCTCGGTGTCCACAGCATCATTTGGATGTCTGGGATCAGAATTATATATGAAAACTAAAATACTGTTAGAAAAAGCATCTTTATTGAACTCTTTTACATACTTTCCTTTGGCTATAATAAATTAAAGGTTTGTACATAGCCTTCAACCATAATATGATTTGAACAAGGTTTGTCTCTTCCACCCAGTTTTTTCCCCTGCTCTGCAGTCTCATTTGTACTCATAGCTGTAGAAGGAAATTGTTTCCCACAAACAAGAAGGAACTTTTCTAGGAACCAAGTAGAAAACCATTTTCAGATCCAATTAAATTCTGCTTTCCCAGTTTCAGAGACAGACTTTTTACCATATTACTTTTCCTATTCCTCTTTGAGGAAAGCACAGTACAGTTTTGATTTAAATAATAGCTAGAAAGGGGGAAAATGATGTAATTCAATATGAGTGACACTGATCTAATGCTGCTGTTATTGTTCTAGCAATGAGTCTGTAAAAAGTTAAGTACTGTAGTTTAAGCTGAGGTGAGCAACTTATATGCATCCTCCCAGGCCAGCAGCCTTTTATGTGACCTTTGTGGGTACCCACAGCATCCCTGTCCTCTTCCCACTTGCCTGTCCCTCCTGATATAATGATGTTGCCAGCACTGAATTGAAAGGCATTTGTTTCTGCAAGCCCAGCAACATAGCATCCTCTCAGTATAGCAGCTTTAGAGCGTAGCTTTATGGTCCAGTTACTGGCAGACTTTCAGAAAATCAGCATAGTGAACATTTAGCTTTATCACTGCCAAACACTTTGGCTTCAACAATAAAGATGAAATCAGAAATCAATAATTGCAACACTACAGCATTGGTAACCCCATTTACATCATCTAAAGTCTTCAAATGCATCTTCAAAAAACTTTTTGAAGGTACAGTCCTATACAGTAGTATAATATACTGTATACACACACACACACACATGCACACACATATACATGCATACATGTAGTATACTGGGAGTAATTCCAATAAACTCAATAAATTTGTGTAGTCTTATACATAATTGTACTATGAGGTATAGACAAATAACCACACTGTTAACTAGAACTGAACTGTAACTGATTATTCAGAATAACTAAGACTAGCATGCCAGTCAATTTACTAGTCAAACATTCCAAAATGAATGCAGGCAGCATCTTGAAGATTTTATTTTACTATGGTACCATCTGCAAAAAAAGAACAGCAGCAGAGATTGTTTATTATCTAGTTCTTCAGGCAAACGTTTTTCTATTAGGTATTTACTGCAACAGCATTACTCCCAACTTATTTGCTAAAGGAATCAGGAAACTGATGACGATCTGTGAAGAAATGGCTTGCTGACCTTTCAGCACTCCCATTTTTAAAAACTGGGCTTTTGTTTTTCTTTTTTAATTGCTGTATCCTATTTTGTTTATTCTTTGGGAAGACTGCACCACCAAAATTTGGCACCAATACAACTTTTTCCCTCTCAAAACGAAGAGGAAGGTAAACCACTCTAATTTCCATCCTTAAAGCTCTAAAAAAAAATCCCTGAAATATGGCTAAAAAACCCAACCCTGCCCCTTCCAGTAATGTCATTATCTTTCTAGTGACGTCACCTGAAAACCTCCAGCTTGTTGGAGAAGGGAATTGTGGCCATCGACCCTGGGTAAATTGCCTACTTGTGTTTTACAAAGAAGCATTCATGACAATTAGTCGACTAAAAATATGAGCTTTTCCAGTTTTAGTTTGTTGGTTAAGGAGGAAGAAACTGTAACTATTTATATATTTTAATTTGTTGCAGAGAGAGAAATCAGAGGAGTCTCCAAACATGGCAACTTTCAACATTAGCCACTGGAATGAAACTACATCCCTCTACCAGTATCTTGGCTTTCAAGTGCAGAAAATTTACCCTTTCCATGACAATTGGAACACTGCCTGTTTTATCATCCTGGTCATATTTATATTTACTGTAATATGTTTGGTGGTACTAGCTTTTTTATACGAGCTGCTTGACTGTTGCTGCTGCGTTAAAAACAAAACCATGAAAGACTTAGAAAATGAACCCAATCCTGTTAGATCTATGATGAACAGCTTCAGAAAGCATGAAACAGAAGTGGTGTAGAGGTGGAATGATCTTCAGCACCAGAATCAAACAGATGTTCAACATTATATTGAAGCCTCTTGTATTTTAAGACCAAGCAATTCGGATCCTGTTTAGCCTTAAATATCACTATTAGCACTCCCTTTTTTCTTTTTTTGGTTGATGGGTAGAAACCTGAAAAGGTCACAAAACACTTGCTAATGGATATGTCACTGTGTGGTGTGAAAAAGGAGGGTTATTTTGTTTTATAATAAACTGCTGTTGACTAGTACTGATGAATTAAATACATTTTTGTTCATCCAACTAATTTCTTTTTGCTTTATTTAGAATGTAGCCAAAAATAAATTAACAGATATTACCACAGAATGTAAAAAAAATCATTATTTGCCATTAAATCAGTTTGATTATATTTTTAATGTATCAAAATAGTAGTTTGATACTCCATTACCCCAAACAAGAGATTATGCCAGCACAAAAGTTTCAGAATAATCTTTTACATACCTGTTAAATATTACATACTTAAAAGATATGGATTATTATTAGTTGCACATCAAAATACTGTTTCTCAGTGCTTAGGTAGTCTCTAGTTTCTTAGCAATTATATTCCCTGTAGTTAATCATACAGTGATCTCATCAGCACTACACAAGTACTGATAAGTCACCTAAGAAACAGGGCCAAAGGAAATGTTTATGCTTCATTATCTAGTTCAGCATTTCATTTTTAATATTTTATACGATACATTAATAAAAAACCATAGCAAACACGACAGCAAACTTGTTTCCTTATTTTGATTTAAAGGAAATATTAAAAACATGGGACTGCCATCAAAACAAGTAGTTATACAGGTAGTCCTTGACTTACAACCATTTGTTTAACAACCGTTCAAAGCTACAATGGTGATGAAAAAAGTGACTTATGACTGGTCTTCGCACTTATGACCATGGCAGTGTCCCCACAGTCTCATGATCAAAATTCAGGCACTTGACAACCAGCATGTATTTATGACAGTTGCAGCATCCCAGGGTCATGTGATCACCATTTGCAACCTTCCCAAGCAAAGTCAATGGGGGAAGCCAGATTCAGTTAACGACCTCAGCAAAAAAAGTCATAAAATCAGCATGACTCACTTAAGGACCACATCACTTAGTGATGTGGTCATAAATTGAAGACTACCTGTACACCAAGTCCTCCATGCCAAAATCTGTCCTATCCAATATAATAAAGGTTTCATATCATTAGAATGGGGCAGCAGTCTTTTCCTAATCTCAGTCAACACAAATAAGTCCATTCAAACCAGTTCAGGATTATAACTCCTTGGCTACATTACTCTCCATCAAGTCTAGCTCTTACATTGCTTATTTTATCAGCCCTGAACAATAAGATTAGTCTGAAAATTAAAAAAGGGAAGCGGAAAGAAAGAAAGCACATTTATGCAACAGGAAATGACAGAATGTTAAGGGTTGTTTTTATTATATAATAGTTATTTGATTTCTTTGTGCAACTGCAAAAATTAGCAGGATTTTTGACTCACTGCTCCTACATCAATTCCAAAAGGCTCCATCAGAAATCCCAAGATCCGTAACATCTCCCAGAAAAAAAAGGAAACACACATGCCTGAAAATATCTCAGAAGTAGAAAGCTAGGTTAGTGTTAAAGGAACTTAAAAAAAAACAAAACTAAAAGTATAAAGTAATCAGGTGCAAATTACTTGACCATTCATTGTAAAGCTAGAAAGACCACTAAGTAAATAAGTATGCATAACCTATAAATACAGGTAGTCCTTGCTTAATGTCCACTCATTCAGCAACTGTTCAAAGTTATGACAGCACTGAACAAGGGGTACTTACAACAGGTCCTCATAGTTGTGGCCATCACAGCATCCCCATGGTCACATGAATGCAATTTGGGTACTTGGCAAGTACCTTGCTATTATGACGTCGTGTGTCCCACAATCACATGATTGCCATTTGCGACCTTCACTGTTGGCTTCCAATAAGCAAAGCCAATGGGGAAGCCTACAGGAGGTCACAAATGGCAATCACATGAACACAGGATGCTCCAGCTGTGTGGGATTTGTCTAACGACGGCAACTGGAACTGCCGGAACTGCTGTTGTAAGTCAGCATGGTCATGTGACATTGTACCTTATAACTGCATTGCTTAGTGATGGAGTTCCTGGTCCCAATTACCATTGGTAAGCGAGGACTACCTGTATGTAAGTACTTAATACATTATTATACAAGACCAAAGAAATATTACAAGGGGATTCAGAGTGACTTTGGTACTATAGGTGCACTGCATAAACATTCAGAAAACACAGAAAAATAGCATTCCTGTTCCATTTCTCTTATCAATTGTTTCTTTCTCTCTTTCTCTACACACACGCGCACACACACACTGAAGATCCAGGACTGAATTTCCAGACATTTCTATTTTTAGTTAAAACAACCACAGAGACCCTAGGATGGATCAGATACAGGGTTGCAAGAAAGATATATTCTCCACATATTCTGCATTATGGGGTAATTCAAACACCTTTTTTCTTCAACACCATAACTGTTATTTACTGTATCAAGGGACACTAGACATGGGGGCAGGGAAGGTGGAAGATCACTTGCTTACATACTTTGCTTTCATACCTCTGCTTGAAACAAAAAAAAATGCAAACTGATAATTCTGCAAATGGATTACAAACCCATTATGCTATTCCTTTTCAGGATAAGCAACATTATACAGAGTACAAAAAGCAAAGAAATTTAAGGAATGGATTAAAAAAAAAAAGAAACATTGGTAAAACTAGTTTACATCAACATAATTTACTATATTTCTCCATACTTCATTATTCTTGTAAAACATCGTTGTTTGCACAACATAGACACATTGGTTCATAGATTGCCTTTTGTTTTTTAAGCTTCGCACCTCTCTTTTTGAGGATCTCACCAACTGTATCCAACACAACTTTTCTCATCTTCCGCTATCTCTCAACTCATTCAACTCTTTCTTCATATTTCTTTCTCTGTGACCAAACCACTTCAACATGCTTCTTTCATACTGGTTATTCAGTGCTGTATTCATTCCATATTAATCAGCACCCATTCATTCTTAATCCTACTTTTTCATGTTTCTTCATGTTTGAACAAATACACTTAATTAATTCCTGTCCAATGAATTCAACTTACTTTAGTTTCTTCAGCATAGCCAACTCTCAAATTCCATATAACAAAGTGGCAGGTGCATGCTTGTGTAAACAGCCATTTTTACTTTGTCAAACATTCACTCTTTTCAATAGAGCACATATTACCCATTTGAGTATACTGATAGAATGTATACTAAAGATGAGAAAATGGATGCAGAAATTTTAACATGTATAAATGTACCTCTCTACAATCATTTACACATGTTAAAATTTCTCCATCCATTTTCTAATCTTTAGTATACACTGTACCAAAGTACACAAATTCATCAATTTGGTTTAATTTTTCACCCTGTATGTATAAAATCCATATACCTCATTGCATCATACAATTTAGTGCTGGTTGTAAAGTATTCAGGATTTCAGCTAACAACACAGCATCATCTGGCTACAAAAGTACATTAATGTTCATATATCCAATTAATATTCCTCTAAGGACACTCAACAATTTCTAATATATTTATCCATAAATATATTAAGAAACCAATGGGACAACATGCCTCCACGTCTTACTTTCTATTCAGTATGGAACCACTCACTAAGCTTTCCAAACCTGTTTTATTTTCATCATATACTACTTATGTTGCATTCAGCCTTATTTTCATGCCAAATATTCCATTATTCACATCTATTCATGTTATCACATGCATTTTCAAAATAAACAATCATACTTTCTGTTTTACATGCATACATTCCTGCTAAAGAGCGAAAATTTGGCCTGGATACCCCTGCTCAATATAAAACTGCACTGTACTTCCCAAATTTTGTTAACTGTCACCTCTTGTGACCCTTTCAAGCAGAATTCTATAATTTTAGCACTTATTTTTGCTACTTATCCTTCTGTCTAGAGGAACAATTAGCAACATTCCTCAACTATCAGGCACAGATGCAGTCTTCACACAGGTATTGAACAAGTCCCACAGCTACTCGTAAGCAAACCACATCTGTATTTTAACATTTCTTCAGTCAGACCTACCACACTTGTAGACTTACCATTTTTCAACATTCTTATGCATTTGTGACTTCATTTTCATTATTTTTTGTCTTGGATACTGATATGTACAGTATTCGGTTCAATTCCACACCTCAACATATCACTATTATTTCCACGCAAATCACTTTTGGTATTCACTCATTCAGTTTCATCCCAAGTCATTTCATCATTTAATTTTTTAATCTCATTCACTCTGCTGGAGGCTCCATATTTAGCCCTCTTCACCCATTTCCAAAATGTCTTCTTTCTGTAATTGCTCTCTTAATGCATTTTTTTTATCCATAACCTCTTTCACCATTCTACCAAGAATCCTTTTCCATACTTCCTATTAGCATAATTATACATTCTTTTGTGGCACTCTACACTATAATTCTTATCACTGGAAAAAGTATCATATTTTCTATTATACAGAGTACAAAAAGCAAAGAAATTTAAGGAAT